GTAGCTGAAGCTTTTCTTTGTGTAACATGTCGACCCAAACTGCGGCAGGTTCAGCACTGCTAACAGGCCCTAAGGATGTTCTACAAATATCTGCATTTGAACGGTTGAACCTGTTGTCACTAAACTGACGTTCTTCTAGAGCGTTAGGCTTGTATGCTTTTTAAAGGAGAAATAAAGTAGTTGAGTGATCACTGACCATTGCAAAGGGGGAAAAAAAAAACACTTGTTCTTTTTATATGAACGGATAAGATTATAGAAAATCGTAGAAGAATTCTCAAGATGTCATGAAATGAGTGCCAAAATACAGCTTTGCATAACAATACGGAATGTGCCTTTTGTGCAATGATTGCAAAATGTTTTACAAGGTTCGGGTAAATACCAGCAGGCCATCTTAAATAAGAGGAAACTGTGATATAGAAGAGGTAAGAACCTGTGTCAAGACAAATTGAAATCACTGGGAAAAGATTCTTAAGTTCCATGAGCCTCATGCCAGACGTAAATAACCTACACAGGACTGTTCAATTAATTACTGACATAGCCAAAAATAGAATCGAAATCTTCTCATTCCTAATCCAGCACTTTATCCATTGGTCCATTATCAATCTGAAGTTTCATCTTGTGGAAGGAAGGTATTTCTTCTTTCTATAAGTGTAGTAGAGATGCCTTCGCACTAGTAGATCTCAAAAGAGCAAGATCAATGGAGTTTATGTTGTGAATTGTGGTGAGAATGGCAATGGATATTTAATTGCCGCATACAAAGAAATGTATTTGTGTCCCTTTCACAGGTTGGTACCGAGGATACACACTCCGAAATAAGTCTAAGAAGGTATGACCTCCCTTTTGGGTAACTTGTGTTTCGCGGCTTTGCCAGACCCCATCCATTGCTGTCATCAGCTGTGCTCCCGTTTCAGTTCAGGTCTCCTGATCAAGCCCTTTTCCTTGAGCTAGATGCTTGGGAAGCATTAGCTGGGTGGCCATGATAAGCAGCTCTAACATAGTTTGAACCAGCAAAGTTGAATGCTGTGCATGAGCTACAGCAGCTCTTTGCTCTGTTATTACAGTTTTGACTTGTAGGCACTCACCATTGGTTATAAATAAAGCTGAGATTAGAGTTTGGATTTGGCTCGGAAAATATTCCGAAAGTTATGCATGGATGGATCTCGGCCAAACTTTGAGGTTTGCAAAAACAGAGTGAAAACTGCTTGGAAATGTAGTTTCCCACAGGAATACTAGCAGTTCTCATGGGATAACTTCCTTCACCACGTCTCTGCATTTTTCCTGATCTAAATGGAAATGAAAGGAAAATAGAAAAGGAATGCAATGCTCCTAGAAGGGTTGCTTCACTGAAATAAGGGAAGTTTGGGGCTGGTGAACTCCTCCAAATGCTGTCGTTAGGGAGCTTGTGTTGGCAACCATGGGTTCAGACCTGCTACCAGACCCAGAGCGTTTTGCAGCAAGGCCAAGTGATGGGTAGTTGGTGAATCTTACAGCATTTCGCACGGGAATGTAGGTGTCATTGCAGTGGAGCAAGGAAGGGAGTTTTTTGAGGTGCAGGTGAGGTAAATAACAGCACCGGTCCGTTATTGTTCTGCTGGTTGTTTCCTCACCCTTTTCTGTTGAACGCATTTCTGACATGTCTGTCTTTTTTAGGGTATCTTCCCAGAAACATACATTCATTTAAAAGAGGCCACTGTGGAGGACCGGGGGTAGGTTGGAGTTTCTTGAGGTGTTCCATTTGTGTGTAAAAACAGCGTGCTGTTTCATTAGGAAAACCTCGATGGTGGTGCACGCTGAACGCTGCTGGGCTGGGTGTGCGGCCGGGTGGGTCTCGCTGACGCCGGGCTGCTGGAGCTGCAGCTTTTCCTTTTCCAGAGCACTGGGCATCCCCAGAGGTAGACGTAGGTGCGAAAGAACTCTGTTTGCAAAAATAAAGCTCTGCTAGACATGTTCGTAGTGAGGCAGGTCCATCCAGTTACATTTAGATCCTCTGGGGACACCCTGAAGTCATCAAATGCACTTGATTGCAGCCAAGTAGCCAGCAGGAGTGTCGACCGCTTCCTGTCTTGGAAAACATTTAAGGAAATCACTCCTCATTTGATTCTTACAGCTTATTCTCTGATCATGTTAGTGAGGAGAAAACAGCAGTGATGATATGTGAATGAATTGTATGAAAATGCAGGCCTCTAATTTCCAGTATATATCTATCAAAAGAGGTTTTACTAAGAGGTCTTGAGCGTAACACCCTTTCTCTTTTTCTCTTTCTCTCTTTTTACCTTTTTTTACCTTCTCTAGACAGCATGAAACAGTGATTCCAGGTGAATTGCCCCTTGGGCAAGAGCTCACTTCTACTTTGAGGGAGTGGGCAGTTATCTGGCACAAGTTATATGTGGTAAGTTCTCTGCAGTGCTTGGTATGTGATGCAGGGAGAGGGAGACGGGGTGTTCCGTTCAGGTAAGCAGGCTGAACTTGCAAACCCTGCAAACAATGTGAAAGACTTAAAAGGCTCCTATTTATAGCCATTTCTGCAGTCAAAACTGTGTGTGCACTAAAAGCAGGGGTGAGGAGAAGCCCAGGTGTTTCTAAGCAGTGCAGAGTGATGAAGCAGCCTAATTTTCCAGTGGAAAAGAGATATGACTTGGAGTTCACAGTAAATTGCTGTCTTTCAAAGTTGCTTTCTTTCAAAGCTGATGATTTAGGCAGATTAAGAATACTCAATCTTGATTTTTTTTTTCTCAGTCAGTAGCGACAGTGATTTCAGCCTGTCCAGGCTCTGTTACTTTATTTAATATGAGAGAATTGTTCTAAATTAGCTTTAAACATATAGTTTAACCAGAGCAAGCTTTCCTATTGAAAACTTCACCAAACCATAAGTATGTTTTGTTTGTGGGCCATGATGCCACAGGAATTTGTTCCACCCTCTAATTTAATGAGAAGCCCTATGTGATGTAATTAGTGTGCAAGAGGGAAAGGGAGAGTTTTGTTCCTGGCTCTTATTTAATTTTTTTTTTCTCTCCCCCAAATAATTTTAAAGTCCTAGTCTCACAATCTGTTTTTCTTAAGAGCAGAAGTCTTTTGTGTGTCTCTGCTTAACCCACATAAGTCTTAAAATAGTCCTGGATAATATTGTGGTTTGAAATGGGTTTGGGTTTATTTTCCCAAATATATCTCCTCTGCAAAATAAATATAAAAACGGGTGGGAGTTTTTAAGATGTTAACTTAACATGCCTTAGCTAGTGCAAACAGCTGAGGACATAACTCAGGGCAGACCTTAAGTGGGCAGTTAGGTAAGCCTGGACTTCCCTCAGTCTGCTAGCCCAAGCAGCCTTCTATTTGCAGTTGTTTTAGCTTCAGTTAAGAACACTTATTTTTTTTTTCTTTTTTTTTGAATAAATACGTCTCTAGTGTCTTCCCTATGGAAACTAAAGATTAATCTTGCTTCTCTCTGCCCCTTCACTTTTCCCAAATCAAATAAAGGTTGGCTCTTTGTAGCACCCTTTAGATATGTGTTCTTGAGGGGCAATATGAGTAGCTGATATCATTCATATTCTTTGTGGAGGCCAGAATGGGAAAGTAATTGAAATGAGCCTCTCTCCCTCTGCTGTTGGGGAGCAATGGGGGTGTATAGTTAAGTATTAATAACATTGATCAGAGAATTTTTAATCTGAAGTGATGAAGGGCCCAAATGTTGAGAGCCTGGGAGTACAAAGCACTGGAGAATTTTCTCCATGGTCTAATGTTGTGGCGTTGTGCAGCGCTAGTCTCACATGTAGTTTTAGTTAAACACAACTGGTATTAATGGTTCCGTAGAACACATCTCAGAAGACTTACTGAGCTAGCAGTTTCAAAATCCTGCTAGATTGAGACTGCCCTTTTTCCCCTGTAGGATAACAAGACAACACAATTTCGTCATGTACAACAGATGACTTACAGCCTGATAGAATGGAGGTCACAAATCCTATCCGGGACTCTTCCCAAAGATGAGCTGGCAGAACTCAAGAAGAAAGTCACTGCCAAAATTGACTACGGCAACAGGTAACCTCCAAACTATGGGCTGCAGGCAGGGGACAAGCCCACACCTCTGGGCTGTGAGACTTGGATTTGAGAATGACCCTGTAATGGCAACACTGAATCAGGTCTTAACGTTTTCCTTGGAAAAGGGATAATCCTGATTTTCAGGCCCTCCAGGACCTGACTAACCCAGCAGGTGGGCATGTAGCCTGTGGTTCTTCATGTGCCAGCACTGTTCCCTTGCAGGTAGTCTCAACCTGTCTGTCTCCTGCAGAAATGCTGCTGCAATGCGGGTCAGCTCCTGTGGAGCGCGCTTGGTGCTGGCCAGCTGGAGCCAGGGTTTAGATGCCAGTTAGGAACTAAACTGCTTTATTAGCATTTAAGAAGTGCAGTTCTGTAAGCCACTAAAACTCCTTTCATTGGTTTGTGCAGATGAAGAATTGTCTTCACAGCTCACTTATCTGCATGTCAGACCTCATTCAGATCGAGTGAGTCAATTGACAAGAAAGTTCATGGCAGAGAATAACAACTGCCCATCATCCATAGGCACCCGCCAGCCAGGGCAAACGCTGGCGCAGGGGGAAGGGTTTGGGCAGCAAACCCAGCAGTGTGGTGGTTGCTCGGGATGGACCTGGTGCTCAGCCCCTGGCTGGCTGCAGTTCCACAGTTTGGTTTCTTCTTTGTGCTCTTTCAATTGCTTTTGATTATGATTCTAACAGACCGTGTCCCTTCTTTCCTTTTCTAACTCATATGCTGCCCAGGATCCTGGGGTTGGATCTGGTTGTCCGAGATGACAATGGAAATATCCTGGATCCGGATGAAACCAGCACAATCTCGCTCTTCAAGTGCCATGAAACTGCATCAAAAAGGATCGATGAGAGAATCCAGGAAGAGAAGGTGTTTTTTGTTGCTTGCTTAGTCCTCTTAAGTAACTTGTGCCTGTTGTGTTTGTGCATCTTTAAGTACTTCGGCAGCAGAGCTAAATTCTGTGTTGTTTTTAATGGGAATACTCTCCTTCTGCTCTGCAGTCCCTGCAACAGAATTTGGACCTTCGAGGGCAGCCAGTATTCAACACTACACATACGTATAGCCTGTACATAAACTTCAAGAATTTTGTCTGCAATATTGGAGAAGATGCAGAACTGTTAATGAGCCTCTATGATCCTGACCTCTCCAAATTTATCAGGTGTTTTTTGTTTTTTTGTAGGATAAGGAATATTAACATCATGGTAGCCTGTCTAAAGACAAGGAAGAACTAGCAGAAAGCTTGCCCGTGATGCTGGTTGCAGCCCCTCTTGTGCTTTGGGAAAGGGTTATTTAATTTCATGTGAGATAGGGAGTCAAACTCTTAAGCCCGTGCACTCCCATTCCTAAAGCAAGGTGTTTCTGTGTTACGTTAATAAAATCCTAGATTTTCTGCTTATGTTCACAAGTTTTCCTCTTATTTTTGCTGGACTTGATGTATTTAATCCATTGCTTCCCTCAGACTCATGTATGTGCCTAGAGTTTGCTGTCAGTTCACACACTGAGGGTCTGTCACTTTGGAAGCACCTTGGGGGAGAGGATTTTGGCAGAAATTTCCAAATATTCCTATAAGATAAGAATACTTTTAAGATTTTACACAGGAAATGGGGATATTGGGAACTGATTTTGTTTGTTTCCTTTATTTGTAGTGAAAATTACCTGGTTCGTTGGGGCAGTAATGGGATGCCTAAAGAAATTGAGAAACTAAATAATCTTCAAGCAGTCTTTACTGTAAGTTGTGTTTGCATCTTTGAAATGCTTCCCTGTGCTGCAGACATTTGAGTCTTAGTGAGGTGGCTTCCATTTTTGTTTTGTTTTTTTGTGGTTGTTCCCTACCCCTGAGCAGCAGTGCGTGACACAGACTAATAACCTGGTCATTAGGATGTAGTATTCTGACAACTAATGCCATTTAGTCTCCTGCGGTCCTGTTGCTGTCATGCTTTATCAAAAAGTAATGGGCAATTGTTGTGCAGAAATTGCTAGCATCTTTGCATTATTGCTTTCCCAAGGAAAAAAAGGAACATTTCTCCCCCCACTCCTTTTTTAATAAAACATATTTCCTTTCATACATGTGTACCACCTAACAGAAAGGTCTTGTAGTGTCTCTGTTGCCTTATCCCCCATGCATGAAGCAGATGGATTTAGCTTGCTTTATTTTAAATGATTCCCAGGATTTAAGCAGCTCCGACTTGATCAGGCCGAAGATCAGCTTGGTGTGTCAGATCGTGAGGGTAGGGCATATGGAGCTGAAGGATGGCAAGAAACACACCTGCGGCCTCCGGAGACCATTCGGTGTGGCAGGTAAGAGGCCGGGGAACCCTCGGGTGCTAAACTGATTCCCTGGAGATGCTTCAGAAGAGCAGGGTGGCGCGGAGGCGGAGATGTTGGCTAGGAATCTGGAAACGTGTCAGCCGAGGCCTCTCGGCCACTGGCATCCCTGTGTCCGGGATGGAGGTGTCGCTGCTCAGCTGCGTGTAGCACTTCCGTGAGATCTTTTAATGAAAGATGTGTGAGGAGATGAAATACTGTCACTGCTCACCATTTGTTCTGTTAGCTCTTGAAAAGATATGTGCTCCCATCAGTGCAGTACACTTGTTCTCCATTAACACTGTCATGAGTGTTTTTAGACCAAAATTGTTCCTCTTTAGATTTCCATTAGTTTCCCTTTAGCAACTTTGCAGAACTATGTGTTGAACTTGTTGTTGCAGTGATGGACATAACTGATATCATTCATGGAAAGGTGGACGATGAGGAAAAGCAGCATTTTATTCCATTTCAGCAGTAAGTACTAGACTTCAAGTGCTAGACATTTTCTTCTAATGAGGCTGACTTTGGATGCAGATCTGGTACAACTGTGGAGATACTGTTTTATATCTACTCTGATTGGGAAGTGCAGATATGATGGTGTAGAAGCAGAAGTGAAGTCTGGCTGTAGATTCACAGCCACGAGACGTGTTTGGCGCAGCGTTTCCCCGGGCTGGGCTCAGCGCCCCGTTGCTCCGCGCCGGGCGGGTGTTGCTGCCTGCAGAGAAAAACGAGGCCTGGAGCGGGGTGGGAGGGCAGGGCCCGGGGCGCGGGGCCTTTCCTGCGGGTCGCCCGTTGCGAGACCTGTTCTCACGGGTCCACAAGGCAATTGTGCACGAGAAACAAAGAAGTGGAGCGGGTTACACTGAGTGCTGAAGGCTGCAATTTCAATACGATAGGAATGTAGCCAGGGATTCTTTGGGTTGGGTTGGCCTGTACTACTTATTCTAGGCCTGAGCAAGCACTTACATAGCTCCTGCTTCAAGAGCTTAAGAAAATATTTCTGTTGGGTTTGTGCAGGTGAAGGGGAAAATATTCCTCTTGGAATCATTTTTTAACACTTTGGAAAACATGAAAGCAAAGTGTGCTGTTGCCAGCCCTTGCCCTGCGGAGCACACGCGTGGTGTCTGTGCACCTCAGCCCTGTTGTTCTCCTCAGGATTGCCATGGAAACGTACATCAGACAGCGCCAGCTCATCATGTCCCCCCTGATCACCTCCCACGTGATCGGAGAAAACGAGCCCCTCACCTCTGTCTTCAACAAAGTCATCGCTGCGAAGGAAGTGAATCATAAAGGGCAAGGTACTCCGTCAGGCGAGGAGCTCGCATGAAACCCCCGTGGGGAAGGTTCCCCTTCCCTACAGAGGAGTCAGTGGCTCGGGAAGGTCCCAAGAGCAAAGCGTAGCGGAGCCACCTCCCTGCGCCCGTGCTGGCTGCCACCCCAGCACCCAGGCAGCCCAAACCATGAGAACAGGAGCAGCTCTTACCTGGCTAAAACGAACCGCTCCTCGAGCTGGTGACCGAGAGACCCGTACCCTTAGGACTGGGATGAAATGTGCCTGGTGGCAGGTGCTCAGCAGTTACTTACACAATGGTTGCCCTGTTCCGCTCCTCTGGAGTTAATTTGCTACTAACATAGTATATTAAAGATGCACCTCTTCATATGGACAGATACTGTTCTTAAATGAATGTCGCCAACTGTATCTTCTGAATGGCTTTGGTGGGTTTGAAATACTTTGTTCTGGATTCTCCTGCTCTTGTTTGTCTGGCCTGTACCCAAATGCACTAGCACATTCATCCCTGAAGGCTTCTGTGTGACTTCAGGTGATCTGCTTATGCAGTACAGTCCTGTTCAGCACGAGAGAAACCTGGAAAACTGGGCCAGACAGCTTGGGATCTTTGAGATGTTGTGGCTTGGGGAGTCACACGATCTACTGGGTTTTTAATTTCACGTGTGTGGTGTTTTTTAATCCAGTAAGGAAGTGTTATGTGCTTCTTTTTACTTAGGCCTTTGGGTTTCCCTGAAGCTGCTTCCTGGTGACCTGGTGCAGGTTCAAAAGGATTTTTCCCACCTTGTAGACAGATCAACGGCCGTGGCTCGCAAAATGGGCTTCCCTGAGATCATTCTTCCTGGTGGGTTCCACGTGCGTTCTCACATGGCACTATGAATTAAAGAGGCGGGGGGGATTCTGGAATTTCTGCTGTGCTAAAGTTGTAGGTATTTGGGTGTATGTAGGTTTGGTTGGTTAGTTGGTATGTATTTCTCTCCTCTATTCCTCTTGAAGTTTCTAGCTGCTCTCTTTATTTTTTGTCAAAGAAGTGGAATGTGAAAAAGCTCCCTTTCTTTGAGAAATGTTATATTAGACCAAGTGGATTCTTTGGGAAGGGGGGCCAGGGGGAACAACTGTTTAGTCAGGGTCATTTTGATCACATACAGTTTTAACCTCTTCTATTTAATCTTTTAAAGTGGATGTTGCCCTTTGGAGCTGATTACAGTAAAAAATTAAATTATCTAGAGACAGATGTTTTTGGTGAGACTGATGCATAATTTGTGTAAACCATATAAACTTTCACAATTGTCTATACAAGGAAAACAGCTGAAGGTCTCTGAATTTCAGGTGATGTTCGAAATGATATCTATGTCACCCTGGTACAAGGGGAGTTTGACAAAGGGAAGAAGAAGACTCCCAAGAATGTAGAAGTCACCATGTCTGTGCATGATGAAGATGGCAATCTGCAAGAGGTACGATGGGCTTCGCAGGAGGTGCCAGGCTGCTGAGTTGGCTGTGTGATACCTCTGGTGCATAGGATCTAATTCTAATGCACAAGCTATGTGATAAGGAACTAGAGCTTGTAGGAGATCAGTGACCAAATTTGAGGACTCACTTTTTTTTGGTTTGTTTTGTTTTCTTCCCACATTAACAACAGATTTGGGAAATCTTTAAACTTGGTGAAAGTTGGTGAAACTTTCAAAGAGGTGACACACATTGAGTTCCCTTGACTGTGAAACAAGGGCTTTGGGCTACCCTGCCATTTACAGTCTTTGAAAGTTTCCATCCTAAGATGTTTTTTTTCTTTCCTCCTCCAATTTATCTTTCTCTTTTTCCCTCTCTTGTCCTTTTCTCCAAAGAAAGCTATCCATCCTGGTGCTGGGGATGAAGGTGTCTCTGAGTATAAATCTGTTGTTTATTATCAAGTCAAGCAGCCTTGCTGGTATGAAACTGTAAAGGTAAGAGTGTGCGTTTGAGCTCCCCTTCCTTTGTGCAGAAGATGAGACTAATTTCAAATCAGTAGAATACTGAATAGCAGAATGTCCTGTAATGGGCTGTTGTTGTGTTGCGTGCAGGTGTCCATTGCCATAGAGGAGGTCAGTCGTTGCCATTTAAGATTCACTTTCCGTCATCGGTCATCTCAGGAGTGTGAGTATCACAAACCCAGACCTGCAGGGCACTGTGCTCTTCCCGGTCCCATCTGGATGTGTGCAGTGGTGGTTTCTGTTGTTGCTGTTGCTGCTTTGTTTTACTTTTGCTTTGAGAATCCAGCAAGATGACCGGCACACAACTCTTTGAACGCTGGGTCACAAAGTGTGCTTGTTCCTCCGCACCATATGGTGTGGCTGAGTTGTTAGGTGGAGTTATGGAGTTGCACGTGGACAGTATAGACGTAAGACCCGTCCTAGTACAGATTTTTTCTTTCCTTGCAGCTAGGGATAAGTCTGAGAGAGCTTTTGGCATGAGCTTTGTGAAGCTGATGAACGCAGATGGCACAACCTTGCAGGACGGCAAGCACAACTTGATTGTTTATAAGGTAGGGTATAACTTGTTTAAAGCCTTCTCTGCCTGTCACTGTGTTGAAGTGTGCACAGTGTAAATGTGTCTGCAGATGAGAGCTGCAAGGGACCAGATAGGGTGTGATCGAAGTATAAGATAACCCTTACCCTTGCTGTGTTCAACCAACAGGGCGATAACAAGAAAATGGAAGATGCTAAATGCTATTTAACTCTCCCTTGTACAAAAATGGAAGTGGAGGAGAAGGAGATCTCCTCAGGAAAAAATCTGCACCACCTAGCCACCTTCACCCCCACAAAGGACAGTACAAAGGACAGTTTCCAGATTGCCACTCTGATCTGCTCCACTAAGCTCACCCAGAATGGTAGGTCCTGTAGCACTCTGGCACTACCGGGTGTGTATCTGATGAAGTAAGAGAGCACTTTCTTCACCCAAAGCCTTGCCTAGTTGCACTGCTTATGGCCTTTAGCTTCACCTTGCAGCTTCTTGTGTCAGTCACAGCCCGATCCCAGCACTGTTAGTATTGTCACTACAAGCTACAGAGGTATTTATGCACTCAGGAGAGACCTTGTCACAAATGTATTATATCCAGACTGTCTGTGTTAAATCTAATAGATTTGCCAGCATTTACGGAAAATGCAGTTGTCATGGTGTAAATTTTTTTTTAAAGATTCCTTTAAATTACAAGCTAATTATCTTCTTACCTTTGCCTACTGAGAATGTAGCAAGTAGAAGTGATCTGCTCAGCATATTGTTATGCAATAACTCTGCTTTGCATACAGCCAAGGTGGCCAAGTTAAAGGGTGTGTGTATGGGAGTGAATATGTTATATGCTCATAAATGAGGGTGACTAGAACAGGCTGCCCAGAGAGGTTG